GCTCAGTGACTCGCCCAGGATGACCCACTGGTAGGCGCAGCAGTGCCCAACGCTGTCCTAGGAGCTAGAGCACAACTGAGAACAAAACAGGGAAATCTCTGACTACAGTAAGCTCTCAGTACAGTCCACAAACAAATAAACAGATAAATACAGAATCAAATAGCAGGGAGTGACAGTGCGTTGAGGGAAAATAAAATGGGGTGAGGGAAAAGGCAGGGGTGGGGCGGTGGTTGCTACTTCAGATCACGTGACCAGGGAAGGCCTCTCGGACGCTGTGGCATTTGAGAAGAAGCCTGAATGAAACCAGCATGTGAGCCTTGCCAATATCCAAAGAAGACAATTCCAGGCAGAAGAAACAGCAAGTCAAAAGGCCCTGGGGCCCAGTGAGCACTGTGGGCACGTAGGAGGTGCAGCTGGAGAGGGCCCTGTGGGCCTGGGGAAGCACGTTGCCTGTCATCCCAGGTCACGTGGGAAGCCCCTGCAGGTTTGTGCAGAGGAATCACGACTCAATCTATGTCTGATCTGATCTCTCTGGCTGCTGTGTGCATCAGCCGCAGCACAAAAGTCGCAGAGTGACCAGTGAGTGAGTGGCTGTGACAATAATCCTGTTTCCTGTCCCCACAGAGAAGCCTGCAGCCTTGAGTGCTGAATGTTCCATATTTTAAGCAGGATATGGGGTAAGTGGACCCTGACACCCCTCCAGGGAGGGTGGCTCACTGGGCTCAGAGACTCCGACAACCTCCCATCTGCAGCCACCCTCCTTCCCCCACAAGCCTTCACCCAGGTCCCTCCGTGGGCCTGCCCCTCCCTTCCTTTCCCAAGAGAAGGAAGACCTGTGAACCTTTCACCGCTGCGCTGCATCTAATGGCTGGATAGAGGAATGCGGAACGTGCTAGGGCAGCATAGGTGAAAAGGAGATGAGTACGTCAGAGGAGGCAACATGTGCGCTGGGCCTTGCAGGATGAATAGGAGTTTGCCGGGTAGAGCAGGCATTCCAGGCAGAGGGAAGAGCACATGCAAAAGCTCAGCAGCAAGTGAACAAG